CCCCCCCCCCCCCGCCATTCTGAGGCTTTCGAAGGTTCTCTAAGCTCACCTGGAAACCGCAATATGAACATGAGATAAGGAAGTCAAAAATGTGCCCAGGTTTTAAATAAGCACACTCTGTTGAGTGATGAACAGTAAGCGAGAGGAATCAATTGACCTTAGCGAGGCAGCGACTCAAGCCCGGTAATTGGAGTTGCGAACCCCATTTTGTTGGCGTAAGAGATGTGGTGTAAAGCCAAACGCTAGCAAAGCAGCCTATCACCAAAGTCAGGGGTTAGTGGGTGGGTTCCAATCTTACATCGCAGGACCGAAAACATGTGTGGTAAGATCCTACGCTCACAATACCAGGGGAAGGAAGTGGAAAACTCATGGTCTAATTAGTTAAAGGATTTTGTTTTCAAGTTTAGCAAATATAATAGAGAGCTAAAACGTCCCTAGGAGATAGATCAGTGCTCAACAATCTTGTGGTCTTTTAATTCCAATGGGTTAATCAGAAAACGTTAACTGAAACTCCGTCAGCTTCTAAGGACAGAGTTACTGTCACGTAAACAGTGAAAAATCCACGATTCATCGTAATGCAAAGCAGAAGTTTCTTGTTTCATGAAATAATAGTCATACTGAACACTCCGGACACATTTAGGTATATTAAAAGCGAGAAATCAGACACATCCAAGCAAGTCTATTCAGGGAGTATAAAAACATTACGAAAAGAATTGCTAAATAGAGGTATTACAGTTAACCGACTAGACTCACAGCTCCGAGATTTATGAAGAGCGATGTGATTAATAAGGAACAACTTACATCAATGCCAGTCCGCAAGAGAACGTTGATCATGCGAGTGGATTATTTCAGTGAATCAATAAGAGGTAAAACCGAGTTGTATTCGACGAGAAACTGATTGATAAAACGTCACTGGCCATCGATCATCGTTGCTTCGATTTCTTTTCTCGTCTTATTCATTGCTTAGTTTCAATCGATTAATTATAAATGTAAGGAAGATAGGCCAGCTAGTGGACATCTTGCTTCTCCGCATCGTTTTTCCACTTAAACTCCTGGGTATCAGAATGAATAATTTTGAATCGTTTAAAAACTCCTGTTTCGGCAACCCTTCCAGAACGTGGCCCAAGGTGACAATTTGCAAATAGTAGTTTTACAAAAACAGAACATTAGGTTTGCTTTTTTCGGTGGCAGAGTTTGCATGCGTATCACGTCACAATGGTTCATGCCGCAACAGGTCGACGGAATAGTCCACAGGCACGAGATACTACAGTACATTTAGGAGGGCGGAAGTTGTGAACCAAATAAGGTTGCAATGAAAAACGAGTGGTGTGGCTGCTGCCGTTGGGAACAAATGGTAGACTTGATTAGTCCCATGATGGCATTGAGAAAACGAGCCGACAAGCAAAGAACTGTTTTCGGAAATTTACAGCCACGCTCTTGCATGCCGTAAAGTGGGGAATGCTTACATAATGATAGTCATTGTCTCGGTTTAAGTGCAATTGTGAATGATCTCGTAGACACCGAAAACCAAACCGAACCCGAGAAAGTATTCATTGCTTATCGCATACCACTCGACCGATCCAAGATGGTCCTAGTCTGAACACGGACCATAGTCGAGGCGATCGCCGTTCGCTCATTTTGTGCGAAAATGAGTATCTTAAGCGCATCAATCGCCTTGACGTAGTGTGATGAGCGAAACAGAACATATTGTGTCTCTTGGCTCACTAACTGTTCCATCACACGCGTCCGCCTCCGAATAATGGCCCTAAACCGGGCTGACGACTGTCATTATGTAATCACCTTTCCATTGTATTAGATGTAACAGAAGGAAGAGGAATATAACAAACAATTATTCATTCACCGACTCATTTTCCGAAAACAGTATGTAATTGTAGCAATGGAGTTCACCCTTTCCACTACAACTCAAGCAATGGTGTCGATTTTCAAAGTAATCAATCAACTTGAATGTGTTCATAATTTATGAACTGACAGAACGTGTAGCATGACTCAAGCTTTCTCAACAAATCATTCCCAATAAAGCCAGCTTGTCAAACATTGATTCCTTCCGGATATCGCGTGCCACTGTTTACATACAATCGTAAACAAAGGATCTGTTTTATAAATTCTGAATAGGAAATCCGTCATCGAAAATGTGGCTGAACTGCCCCCAGATTGTCCTTCAACTGTCGGGCTGGACGTTCAGGTGGATTTACAGCAGTTATGTGGGAACATGTTGGCCAACAAATGGAGGCAGATGGTCTGATATACTGTGGTGGTAAGCCATTAGCAGGCTGCTTTCTTACAAACCGCCGACTTCTGCATGTTTCACTAAATCGGGTTTATTGAAAATATTACTACTTATGCGCAAGAGATTTTCGAGATGATTACAACAAAATGTGTCATTCAATTGAATCTAAACAACAGACGTTTACCCGTCAACCGCCAATTGAACCACTTTGGCTGTCGAAAGGTGTCAAGCAGTTCGGAGGCCTACGAAGCCAATAAGACAGAAATCGCCAATGCAGTCAGTTCGTCGAAAAGAAGGGAGGTCCCTGGAGATACCTCCAGAGCCATTCAAGGTTTACCCACCAACTCTGATCGACCCGAAATATTTTCTTTTTCACTCCATTTAGGAAGAAGTGTTCCCAAAACCGAGCAACTAAAATTTCGGCCCCTATACGGATCCTCTGTGGTGAACGCATGCAAGAGATGAAAAGGTCTCTAATCTGAGAATTTTGTGTGAGTTGCATGAAGAAGCACTTCGTGCTTCGTCGGCTGTTGGATTCCCATTGACGATTTCGTTGCACCTTCACCTACAGCAGAAAACAACTGTCTATATCCATTGATAGAATACCGAACAAACAATCTGTATCATTCCTCATCGACAATCACTGATGGCGATTTTCGGTTCGCACTGGAAAATCAACTTAGAAACAGATGAAAAACGCCACCCCTCCTCCACCACGAAGCACTTATTTAGGAGCAACCTGCTGAAATCAGAATGTGGAAACCAGACCTGTGAGCGCAAAAAAAATCGTCTGTTACATGTTTACACAACCTCGAAAGGACGGCTGTTGAGATTTGCAAAGACCATAACCATTAAGCGCCGAAAGTCCCTGCTTTGTCTACATCAGTCTGGTATTGCCCTGGTAACCACGTAAGCGGAACAGTGAATTGATACCATGTTGGATTGTCAACGCAAGTGATTTATTAACTGTTTTGTATTCCGCGGTAAGCACCAGCTGAGATGCAGCGAAATAATTCCGGAATTAAATCGCGCTAGCTTGCAGTGTTGTGCTCTTTGTCCAAGTTTACTTCGGGAAATAATTACTTTAGTCCTTGACAATGTTAACTGCGCATTTAACACCGCAATACATGCAAAAACAGCATCAAGGGTTGTATTAGACGCTAGAGGTAGGGTGCTTAAAACACATGTAACAAATCACTCCGCAGAAGTAATGGAATAGAAATTATTTAACAACGATTTTAGATCGTTTTGCTTTACAACTTCACAAAAAGCAAACGCGTTCAATTTTAGCTAGATTAGATTTGTAACGAGAACTTCAGTCTAAAATTATTTTGGATATGTNTGAAACCTCCTCGTAATGAGCATCTGGTCAAACTGCCCAATCGATGCGGGATAACTCTATAACGAAGATGTTATCAAATGGCTGATACGCGTAACAGACGTTACAACAAAACATTATTTCTACTACTTTTGTGAAATTCGACATCAATCAAATCAGATATGTCATACAAATCTTCCTTGGAGTTTCAGTTTTTTTATCCTTGTCGCTTTTGAAGGTCGATCACAGATATCCACAAATATGTGTAGATGTCCGGTGAATGACAAGCAGAAACAATGTTGGAATTGCACTCTGTGGTCATAAAATCAATAAATTATTCCAAAGTAGAAATAATCAAAAGTTTAAAAAAAACTAGATAGAACTGATTAAAAAAGAATCAACTGTCCATTGGAATTAGTTATGGATCTGAGGCGATGAACATATGATTAAGTTCACATTTCCAATGAGATGACATCATATCGAGTGCATAATACAGATTTGTAAAATTCTTTAGAATAATGATCCTTGGCAAGTGAATAAAAAATGGAAGATCTTTAGGGGAGAAAAACGCTAGTGGATTGTGATCACAGGATGTATGCTTGTACTATGGAGCCTTTCTCCAGTTCCGTTGTGGCACTTTCTTTGACCGTTGGAGGTATCAAAATCAGGAGATCAGAGTCTAAGCAACTGGCCAGTCGAGAACTGATCTGACTACCAGCATGATCACATGTTGCACAGGGAATAGAATGTTCAGCACTCTCGTCCAACTCCCAGACGAGACGCGCACGTCGATAATCTGGCCGATCACTAAGACGTACGGAGTGTAACAGGCGCACTCGGATGGATTGTAACTGGCATTCATTTTCTGATCGCATTTCAAAGACTCGCAACAATGGGAGGAGAAACAGGTGCGCAGTCACAAAAGTGGACACCGGGTTCCCGGGTAAACAGAGAATGAGTATGGACTTTCTCGGTCCCAGTCCAACTGGTCGGGGAACCGAAGCCAATGTGGTCGGCTTTCCAGGTTTCATGAATACGCGAGCAAAATGCACAATGGCGCCAAACTCTTCAAACAAAATTCGGGTGACCAAATCTCGCTCGCCCATACTGACACCACCTGTGGTGACCAAAATATCACACGTGGCCAGAGCCCGAGATAATGCACTGACCAGCACATCGTGCTCGTCAGGCACAATCCCGAAATCGGTCACTGTGTGAAAGCCAAATTTGTGTAACAAGCTTATTAGAACTGGACGATTTGCATCGTACACGGCAGACGATGTGGCTACCGTAGCACCATCGACGACTTCGGTACCTGTGGACAATAAGCCGATGCGAGGCTGCTGGAAACAAGGAATGTGGCCTCCTAAAGCCAAACGGTCCATTACTAATTGGGGTAGCGGGGGTTCGTTGTCAGCTAACATCTCCGTCCCTGTTGTAGACCAAGGGGCCAAAACACCGGCGCTGGCTAGCATACCGAGCTCCGCCGCATGGAGGCGCAAACCACGGTTGAACAGTGTGTTCGGCGAGAGATCTGACCCCTTTGGTCGGATGAACTCACCCAACTTACTTGGAGCGTCCAACACCTCGATTTTGTCCTCTTCCCTTATATTACCATCCTTCTTTTCTGAAACCAGTCGGGTATTCTCAACCGGCACAACACAATCAGCATCTAATGGGATAGGTCCGCCGGTACTGACACGAACACATGTTCCCTTTTTCACACGTAACCTCTCCCCATCAGTATCGCCAGCATATAGCACACCCAACACACGTCGAACACCCGTTCCATCGGCGAAACGAACGGCGTAACCATCCATGACACTTGCATCAAACGGCGGAACAATCTGACGTGATCGAAGTGTACGGGCAAGAACACGGCCTTCCGCATTCTTGTAGTACACTGCCTCTAGTGCGACTTCTTTCAAAAGGGCCGAGGCTACTTGAAAGAGTTTACCTTGGGCATCTTCAACAGAAATCATCGGGAATGGGGAGCTTCGAGGACGACTCACAACCGACGAAACAGTAGTGTGACCATTCGTGAGTTTTGACTTTACTGACTCTTCCTCACGTCCATGACCTTTGACCCACCCACGCAACTGCTCCACTGCATGCTTCACCACAGGTAAAATGACAGGAACACACTGACAAACAGCACTAGTACTCCCAGGTAAGGCGACCAATAAAACTTCATCGCGAACACCGGCTATCATGCGAGACAAACTAGCCTTGGGAGTGTATTCGAGTGATATCTTGTACAATGCGTGTTCGAGGCCGGGTAGTCTGTTGGGCTGTTCAATAAGTTTGGATACAGTGTCCGCTGTTACGTCCCGTCGGGCGATTCCGGTTCCACCAGTCGTCAGAATCACGTGTACAAGGCCGGAAGCGATCCATTTGAGTAAAACTGCCTGAATCAATGAGGATTCATCTGGCACGCAGTCTTCCAGAGAGACGATGAAACTGCTCGACTCCAACATCCGATTGATGGCCGGACCACTACGGTTCAGAGAAGGATCAGCGGAACACGTATCGCTCACTGTCAACACACCGAACATGATTTTCGGTTCTAAACGATCAGAAAGCAAAGTGGGAAAACGTTGACAGTTAAAAAAAACAGGATAAAATATTTCATCGATTCAATAAAGAAAAACGATTTTGAGGCAGCACAGGACGGCGTGAAGAAAGATGAATCTTTAGATTGCCTATTGATGAAGACCTATACAATTAAAGAAGACATCACGTCGCTGCCTGAATGGAGTTAACTTGTTTATTAATCTTGGTATTTCTAATAAAAAAGCGAAAACAAAAACACGAATGTGATGAGTATGGCAAGGATGGGAAAGCCGCTAAAAGCACTCATGGGGATCACAAAACAGAAGGTAAGGTTGAGCTTGTTGATAAGATAAAACATAGGAATGGTTTTTCCAGTGTCTCCCAAAGCCTGAGTACGGTCGGGGGTGGGTGTTTCGAGCGGCAGCTGGTCATCCTTCCCATGCGCCTCACGAAATATGCATATTACATCGAGCGGTTCAAATAGCCCATGCTGAGGAAGTCCTACTCACTGTATTCCCAAGGCGGTTTTCCATCAAAGCCAAAGGAATGCCAACATCCGGGGCTACAGCCAGCTACATATACATATATACTCAGCATTTTTATTATTGAACACTCTGGTGTAATGCATGGAAGAAAGGGTGAACCCATATTCAAGCGGACCTACAGCTCACTCATCATAACCGGCAGCGTAAGCCCTGGGAATCAGAATAATGAACCACAGAGGGCCCCATCAGGACAGTTATGGTATAGAGCCGAGCTATAGAAAAGAAGCCTGCCGCCAAAGTTGAGTGATGGTAGTTGGGTTAGAACCTCAGACCCTGGGGTCCAAAGCATGACAGCGACTTAAACCACCTGGCTGAGTGTAACAAACTGGGCTGCGCAAAGTGAATCGCAGAATGAAACACATCATAGAATTTCGAAATTCCATAAATAGCGAGAACCATACGGCGGCAACTTACCATTATTTACCCCATTTAGCTGCATTTTGATCCAAGAAAACAGTACTGGACTCAGTTAGTCCCTGTAAATAAAGAAGCGAGATTTATAAAATCTGAAGATAACAACTTGAAATTACTTTAATCTGTGTCAAACTAGGAAACGAAGAGCATGTTACTGAAAAAATTCTGCATTTTTTATAGATCACTACAAGAAAAAAATGGGAAACACTGAATAATTTCTTCCGGGTTCTTTATTCATCATAGTTCCTTCAATAATACATTCGGTCTGTTTCAGTTTCAACATCTGTTTTAGGATTGGACTGGATTGTAATACTTCGGTTTTATTTGAAATATTTCTACAGTTCAATCGAACTTAACTACACCAAATTGAAAGTGACAACCCATTTCAGTGAGGAATCGGGCGAGTTTTATGATTCTGCTGCATTTTTTTATTACACACATTCTTGTGTGGTGAATAGCAGACGGGGCGAGCCCCATAGTTACGAAGACCTGCTGCTCCTTCATGGAAACCCGTAACCTAAGCCGCGGGACTCGGAGTGGCGAACCACATAAGGCCCCGCTAGCTCAGGCGTGGTGTAGAACCGGACACAACAAAGCTGCCTACCACCAAAGTCGGGTGCCGGTGGTGGGGCTCGAACCTCGAACCACGGGGTCCAAAGCACACCGGTGACAGCAACTAAACCACTGCGCCACCACTACCGTGACATAATCATCATCATCGTACAGAAAAATACAGTGAAGTAAGTTTTACGCATCGCTGCCAAACTCGCAATGCGTAAGACAGTGATAATACGTGGGGTAAATGGGGATTGGAAATATTTTGAGGGGGAAAGGAAGTG